CGGACATCTGCCGCGCGGGGAAATGTATCCGAGACGAGATATCCGGCTTGGACTTGCATCCCATCGAACGACGGCCAGGATGTGACCCAGCGCGGATTATAACAGTGCCCCGACGACCCGCTGCGCCGACAGGACAATTGTCTAGGTGTGGTGGCGATAAAGACAAAGATCCCCCGTATAGCCTTAACAGACTGTAGGGGCAAGTATTGTTAGCGAGCACCTATAAAGACCGGCACGGCACACGAGGGGGTGGCTGGCCAGCACCACGCCCGGGCCGCCTTTGTCTCCCTAGTGGCGACGTTTACACGCCGCACAAGGTACTAATTTGAGGCTGAGTCAACCTAGGGGAGGCCCAGGACCGGTTCATATAATCGTCACTGGTGTTGACCGTGAGCGGGAATAGAACTCTGGTGGCCGGGTTCGTAGCGCAGCGCGCTAACCGCTACACTACCGCTCCCCACGCACACACATTTGAATGCATCCACATTCATTGTGACTTTACCGAAAAAAACAATGAGTAATTTTATGCAGTCACGAAAGCTTTAATACTTTATTATTCATTATGAGCTTTGGTGGATCGGGCAAGGCCCGTGAATGGGATCCACGCCTCAAATGTACCACAACACCTCGCTGATCTCATCAAGGAACATAAATCATCACGCGAACTTCGGTCACCCTCACAGCAGCTTTCGGCCACCCATCGAACGAAGACGGTCACCGCATCGCGCGGCGCTTTCGGATTCGCTTCTGTGGCCGTCTGGAATGCTCTTCCTTCCGACATTAGGAAGCCACTGGAGCTACGGCACTTTTAAATAATCTAGATTGAAAACTCATTTGATATCCTCAAATGAGCATTGATGTTGATACTAATTTTCTGTTCACAGCACTCAGCTAGTGGTGGAAGTTCCACATTCCCATGACGGGGGGGGGCGAGTCTACCCCATAGAACAACTACTGTTGATTCCCCCCACAAAATGGTACCAATTATATCGACCCCAAATTAATTATGGGCTAAGTCAACCCCCCCCCCCCAACCTGGACTTGAACTCTCGATAGCACTGACCCACCCAATCGATCTACATGATGGGTGATTTCCATATATGGGTTGGAAGTGTTCTATGGTCTTCTTTGCCGACGGAAATTTCATGTCCACATCTTTAGAACTGCTTTTTGCGTTTATTTTTGTTTGTGTTACCCCCCCCCCCCCCCCCCCGCAACTCCGATTAGCACGGTTGGTTATGTGCTGTGCGAAATAAGTTAAACAAACATATTACATCTTGGTTTTTGTGGTTGTCTGTTTTTTTGCCACTGAGCCTCCCAATGCTTTTTTTTTTGCATTCCAGGTCTCACTTGCAAATTCGCCGTTTGTCTCAATTTGTTTATACAATTCACGAGAAGTGATGCGTTCAAGTTTCTGTTTTGTTTAACCAGGTGAAAACTCGCGAGGATGTGTGGATCATCTTACACGTACAGGGCATGATTTCTAATCAATCCCGTATATGATCCTCCGTTCCAATGTTTTTGGTTTTTCCCCGGTTAAACATATCCACAAAATGGTGGCGATTCACGTGCACGCATCTGCCAAACGATGCCCCCACGTACTTTCTTCATCCGCAGCGCAACAAAGGCGTGCGAGTCGGATGATTCACCAGGCATCCACAAGTCGCTGACGGATGGGCTTGGGCAAATGCCATTGCTTTCAGAAGAAGAATAATTTATAAACAAACCCCTCAGAATGTCAACTTTAATAATAAGTTCATAAAAAAATGCACCGTGAGAATTCGTTTGGTTGTTCGCAGCAAAATTTGGAAGGGGTGCGGTCATGGGTGCCCACGGCAAATGCGTGAGAACACGGGGGGGGGGGGGGGGGCAGAGAGACACCGGGCGTGGTGCTTCGGGAGTGCGTAGGGGCAAGTGCTGTTAGCGACCAGCACCTATGAAGGCCGGCACGGCACACGAGGGGGTGGGTGGCCAGCACCACGCCCGGCAGCCTTTGTCTCCCCAGTGGCGATGTTTACATACCTGCACCAGGTACTCATTTTGAGGCTGAGTCGACCTAGGGGGGGAGGCCCAGGACCGGTTCAGATAATCGTCGTGAGCGGGCATCGAACTCGGGTCGACCGGGTACGTAGCGCAGCGTGATAATCGCAACACTACCGCTCCCTCCCCCCGTGAGCGCGCGTGCGCGTATCTTGGGACCACACGAATCATCACCACCGCCACCATCCCCCGCCCCAATAAACTCGGCCTCGAAAAACCTTCAAGTGGAAATTTCCTAAGCCGGGGGAGCTCGAGCGGCCCCAAAACGTGAATGGCGAGGTCGGCTATTGCGCGTTCGCGGAACCGTGAACACACGATAGCTTTTGTTGCTTTAAACGCTCGATTCAACGTTACCCACACAGAGTATGAATTCCTGCAGCCACGAAAGCTTTCGAATCAAGATCCAACGTTAGCTGTCGCAGCACAATGCCGCGCAAAGAATGCAACGCGAAGCGCTCTACGCGACTTAAACAAAAGCGAGCGGCCCAATGTAAACAACAACACGAATGATACGTTATTGAACTAAACAGTGCAATGCGATGCATAATAAACGCGAGATTAAAGCATCCTAAAAGCCAGCGACGTCCGTGTACTGTCGTGAGGTTGTCGTGGGGGTTATTATTTGATCATTCTTCACCATGGTGGTCAGTGCCGGCGGCTGAAGGTTGATGGGATTTGGCGGTGGCAGATAAACGGACCTTGCCGTGCGGTCCCCGCCTGTCCATCACATCTGGCTCTTGACACATTTCAAGCGCCAACTTACAAGGCTCACCCTCGCTTAGAATGTTCGAGATCTCACGAAAACAGCTGCATGCCGGCTGGCTTAGTTATAGGCATACTGGCATGCAATGTTATGCACTGCTATCAGATGCGCGTTTAACAATGATGTGTTGCTGTTTATAATTCTGAGAGCTGGAATGTATCCTTTTGTGTGTGTGTGCAATCATATGTGACCAGGCTGAGACCATCAACTTTGTACAACTTGATAAGCCGCTTAATTAGTCAGCGGCTGATACCCGGATTTCGAACTCGGCTTCTGTGCGGTTCTGGCCCAGCCCCTCTGTTGATTATTGTTATTGAATCGCTTTTGTTATTGAAAGTTTTTCTTTTTACAATCTAGCTTCGGCTTACATCAATGCCACATGCGGTACTGCAATGACGTGATTACTGTTGCGCGTGTATAGGTGCTGGTGACCATACCCACTTTATGTTGGCGCTATGAACCGCGTTGACCCGAGTCCGTCCGCCGACTACGCCTAGCATCAGTGTGACCTGGGGGGGTGGTGGTGGGGTGCGGTGGACGGGCGTGGTTGCAGCCAAGTTGGACCGCGTTGTATGGAGAGGCGTTCGTTTTTTCGCGGTCGTGCCGGAAATCTCTCCGATTTTTGTTTTCGCTGTTGGGAGTTGCTCCGGCAACTGGAGCGAAGCTCCCGGCAGCGCGTCGGAGAGCTAAACGAAACGTAGACTCAGAAATAATTTCCTCTATCGCACGACGCCGCGATCAATGGAATCGCGCGCGCGTTTGAATCCTTTTCGTTCCCCATTGAGCGCGCGTGACCCAAACCCCTTGCAGCCACTAGAGGCCGCTACCAAGTAAAGCTTTCGCGAACAATATTATCGACAATAGAGGGAGTTTTTTAGGGTTAGATCGCGAAAATGTGTCGTTAAACCCGCCACCACCCGACATAGCCAATTCGTGAGGTTTGTCACGTAAAAAAAAATGCCAAATTCGTTACTGAGTACAGCACACCGGTGTGTTGGAGAGTAAACCCACATCATTTACAATTGTAAGTTGTTTACAATGTTTTGTTTTTACGTGACAAATTGCCTGTGTCCGTTGGTGGCGGGTTGAACAACCACGTTTTTATTTACGCGATCTCACCATAAAAAAGCCTCTTATGGATTCACCAGTGCATGCAAAAAAATGTATCCATTCAAATTGGATCGCAGGAATTCATTGGATCACTGAGCGGTTGTGGTGGTGGTAGGGGCGGAGAAGGAAGGGGAGGGCATTGGATGGGAGTGGAATTTTACAGCACAAATGCATCTGCAACATATCAGTGATTCAATGCGTGCTCACAATAATATTTTGCAATGCTGCTACAGTATACGGTGATCATCGTGATCACGCATACCAACATGACGCGTCAATAACATTTCGTACCGGAAACGATCATTACAAATGCAAAAAATAATTGTACTGCTAGGTGGGGTCATCGCCTCCTGCGCGCGATCGAAATGCATCGTCGCATCATCCTAAGACCGTGCGAGTTAGCGGTGGCTTGGGGAGACCTTCACGTTCCAGCAGTGGATTGAACACGACTGCCGCTGATGATGACGACGATGATGAATGGCGACCGCGATAATTATACTACAACAACAACACAACCGCACGTGGGACGTCTTCATGTGGTGAAGGGGAAGTCACGAGGCACCGCGCAGCTGTGCTGCGTGCGATTTGTGTTTGTGTTTTTTTGTGTTTAACGCGATCTGAAACACGGTAACCACAACTACTCTTTTTTTTAAGCAACTGCTCCGTGGCCCCGTTATCCTTACTCGGGACTCCGCCGTCTCGTATTCACGTGGGGGCATCGCGCCTCTTTGCGATATCGATGGCGGCGTGGGTGGTGATGGTGGAGGGGGGGGTAATACCGAATTCGAAAATAAATGACACTTCTCTGCGTATGTCACCGACTCTGCTGCTGTTGTGATGTGTCCCGCCGCCGGCAACGCCGACAGGGTTGATGATGGACGGGCATGGCATAGCTTGCCCACAATGCGATGGGCGTTGGGTTGAGAGACAGAGAGAGAGAGGGGGGTGGCGAGTGAGTGGGGTGGATGAATGAGGCAAGGGGAAGGTTGAAGGGGGAGTGGTGGTGGTGGGGGCTGCAAGCCATCCCGGCACGTGCTGCTCACCGGTAAATTTCCACTCCGAGCTCGCGACTCTATATAAGAGGGTGGACGACGCGCAGCCGGGCAGCACGCTCGATACGCCTTCAAGGAGCTACGGACGCACGCGTCTTCACCGTCGAGAGCACTCGTCGCCAGCAAGTTTGAACCGGGGGCGTTGCTTGCGCTGTGCGCATTTCGTTTTAGCCGTCAACGTCGCTGTTTGCTCGCTCTCCACGGAGAACCCAAGAAAGCCATTTAAAAAGGGACGTGGTCACATCGTGCGCTTTTTTTTTGCACCCGCTGAACCACTTGCAGTCGCATGCTTTGTTTTTGTTGTTGCACGCAACCCATCGCGCGTCGTCAAATCTGAGCGGTGCCACTTTAATTCATCCTCGTGACTCGCAAAGTGCCGCCGCCCTCGTCGGAGCGGACAAGAGGTGAGTGTTTGGACGTCATCGCTTTGTGCGCGTTGCAACGGCAACACACGGGCACGGGCAATAAATGTATCGCGTTCATTGCAATGAATCCTGGAAAAGGCCGGCTCGTGTGTTTTTTTTCTTTCTCGTATGACCAATACGCCTACGCGCCGCGATGTTGATGGCCACGTTTCCGCTTTCTGACCTCCTTTCTGTCGCGTGCCCGCCGCATCTCGTGCTGGGGCCACATTTCGCGCTGGTCGCATTTCGCCGGAATCTTGTGACCAGTGGTATCGCTCTCTCTCTCTCTCTGTTCTTCCAGTCCCGCCGCGACCACCGTTTTGGTGAAAAATAATATGTAGGAAAAAAAATATATCTCTTGCGTTAAGAAATTAGCATAGACGTCCAACCCCCCCCCCACCACTGAATGGGGGAACCTCCAATCGGCGAAATAAACACTTCGGGTTGGAGCCGTACGTCCTGGCGTGGATGCGCATCAGTCCCCGCGGTGCGACAAAATGTAGTTTTTTTGGGACTCGGGCGAAGGGTTTGTAAAAAAAACTGGCTATTGTTGTTGCAAGAGAAGGCAGGCCCGGGAAGGTCGTGGGGGGGATGCCCGCGAGCTGCCGCGTCTCGGCATCGCGGCAACAGCGGGAAAAAATTATATCGGAGAACAGCGGAGCAGTGTCCGAGTTGCACGCGGGGTCGCGCTGGCGAGCGGACAACTTCTGGCTGCGCTGTGACCCAACAGGGCCGCTCCTCCCTGTCGGCTCCTTTCCCTGTCGGGTCGTCTTGTTGAGTTTGTTGACTCGTCACAGCCGAACAACTTCTTCCGGGTCGACACACAAATCGCTTTCCTACGACAGCTCCGGGCGCTCCCTCCGTCCCTCCCCCCCCATCACTCCCACAAGCCACCGACTTACAGTCACTTGAACCCGTTCGACCGGCCGGCGGTTTCGCGTTTCACCACCGCTGGTTGTGACCACAGGGGGCCCAGCTAGCTAGCACCGGCCGTGCGCGCATTGCCACCCGGCATTTGCCCGCTCGTTCTGTGCCCTTCGTTCGGAGCGTCCCACGGGGAACGTCGTCGTGATAGTGCGCGCGTGCACAGATAAGCGAGCGTCTTGAGCTCCTCGGAAACCGGTGGCGTTCTCCGTCGGCGCTTCGTGAACAGGTAACGACGGGGTTCGCGTCTCGGTCCACCCGCGCCTTGAGAGACAGGGGAGGGAGAGTGGATCGTGCGCGTGGCCACGTGTGCGGCAAGCCACTGCGCTTGCGCCTTGCTTGTTTGCTCGCTCGCTTACTAGCGCCACGGATCGTAACGCAAGCACAATATATAGCGTCGTGGCTCATCGGATTTCCTGCATGAGATGGCTACAAGCCGGTGATGGGAGGTTTTTAAAAGAAAAAAAATGCGGCACCCGTTACAGCGCGTCGCAAGTACAGTTCGCCGTGTGGACGCGTAATGTTTAAACATTTAAAACGGGGAACTCGTTAAAACATATTTCCCTCGCAATTGCCGCTCCGTACGACCCGGGAGACAGGAATGGTGTACTACGCAGTGCTAAGAGCAGGCGAACAGACGCACGGCTCAAAGCAAAAGGCGTCGTTTATTGAACTTCGAGAAACATCCGAGATGATGGTGGTGGTGATGCTGATGGAGGTAGGAGGCTCGTGAAGGACGCTTACCCGGGACATCCACCGGTCATCTCGGTCAGCCAACCCATGACACCTGCTGGGTCTGTCCCGTGACCTCCTGCACCTAGCCTGACACAGTAGGAAGGTCACAGCGGGTGCATCTGCCCGGTCATCTCAGTCAGCCGACCCATGGACCACCTGCTGGGTCTGTCCCGTGACCTCCTGCACCTAGCCTGACACAGTAGGAAGGTCACAGCTGGTGCATCTGCCCGGTCATCTCAGTCAGCCGACCCATGGACCACCTGCTGGGTCTGTCCCGAGACCTCCTGTCAGCAGCGAGCCTTCGACACTTCACGTGATAGCCTCAAATGGCCGGGGTATTGGTGTTGCTTATTCGGGGGTGGGGGGGGGCAAGGGACACGTCATCGTGGCCACTAAGAAAGGAGAGGACAAAGGGTTGATGCCGAATCTGACGAAAGACTGGCCGTCAACAGCGCGGGAGAGTAGTGGCACGACATTGCGTCTCGTCTGCAGCATCTCTGGATGGGGACCAGCATTATGTTATTATCTCCTTATTCCCTCGAGGCCGCTGAAGGGATAGCGAGGGCTAGCGATGTATGTACCCCTGTATCCATAATACAGGGTTTTATTTTTGGGGGGGGTTGGGGGAGGGTTAGATCGCGTACAGTAAACAGAACGTGGCCAATTCGTCACGAGTACAGCGCACAGCGTTGACAGTCAGAATACCGTGGCCACGCCAGTAAGTACAACCAGCATCATCAGGCGAGACAGCCCAGAGTTGTGGAGATATGCCTCCTGCTTCGGTCTTAAACAGACGGGGGGAGGGGGGGGGTTGGTAATGCATCCATATCAATTACAACAATACCGTACGGTAAACTTTTTTCGCCATCGTACGTAGCCACAACCGTGCTAATCGGAGGTGCGGGGTGGAGTGGGCAACATTCTGAACAGCTCTACAGAGAAATGAGTTCGCGATTTGGAGAGGCGTTCATCCCAGCAGTGGATATAGCTCATGGGCAAACACTGCCAACAATTAATGTTTGCCAATTGGTGCATCTGTGGGCATGCTCTAAAGGCTAACGTTGTTCGTCTACTGTGCGGCATACAAATAATGCTGTGCAGTTTTATGATTATTTTTTGTAACAAAAAGTTTTGTTGTCTGGCGGGCGGGCGGGCAAGTGTGCGGTGGTGACGTCACCCGCATCGCGCGTGCTGACGTCACAACCCCCCCCCCCCCCGGCTACGTATCGCGTGCAGACGGGCGGGCGGCGCTGGCATTCATTCATAGATTATAAAACGGTTGCATTACTTATGAGTCGGTATCTCTTTAATGCCATACCACGTCGTGGATGTCATAAGCCACGATCCATCCACTGCTAGCTGAATGCCGCCATGAACAGCGTGCACGTAGTCGATACGGCCAGTCCTACGCAACGCCATCTGTGCATCGCATCGTGCAAAAGAATGAGATGCAAACGACATTCAAACGATATGCACATTGGGCGTTTAGAATGATGATTGGGTGACGCACAAAACTACAAACGCTAAAAAGTGAGAAACGAGTCGCGGGGTGGGGGGGGTGGGAAATCGATACTAAGATTAATCGATTATGGAATGGAATTACAATCCTATACACGCGGCGTATTGTGTGTGTGTATAATATTTAAGGGGATTTCCCAGTAGAATCGCTAGCTGATGTAATTGTCCCGATGTGTATGCATAGACACTGGTTGGTGATGGTATTGCATAGCTGGAAAACGTTGATGAAATCGCAGCCAACTTGACAGCGTGCCACGGAGTTACGAGATGTTGGGCTCAGAGCCAGAGGTCACCATGTGTGTCTGCGCGAGTTGTGTCTGGGTGTGTTTCGCTGAGCGTTAGTGCAGCGGTGAGCACGCTGCACTATTAACCCGGTGACCCGGGTTCGATGCCCGCTCACGGCCAACACCGGTGACGATTATCTGAAACGGTCTTGGGCCTCCCCTAGATCGACTCGGCCTCAATTGAGTACCTGGTGCGGTGTGTAAACATCGCCACTGGGGAGACAAAGGCGGCCGGGCGCGGTGCTGGCCACCCACCCCCCTCGTGCGCCGTTCCGGCCTTCGTAGGTGCTCGCTAACAGCGCTTGCCCCAACGGTCTGTTCAGGCTGTACCGGGCGAACCTTTGCCTTTTTTGTGTTACCAACTAACTGGAGGGTTGGAATGTTGTCCTTGTGCGTGCGTGGCGCGCAGGTTTAAGAATACGCAACGATGGCAGAGATGTTCCAGGTGCAGAGTCCGAACGTTCGCTACACGGAGGAGCACATCGAGGCCGTGTACCAGTACCAGACGAGCCACGTGGCGCGTCACAACGGACGCCTCATCGTGAGTCGCGTAGCGCCGGCCAACCGCCAACCGTCGTCGCGCCGCGGGCCTCACGAGCCGTCAAACGGCGACGGTGGCGATGATAAAACTGAACCGAACTTTAAAAAAAGTTTTTAAAAAATATATTTTAGCAGTTAAGGCCCAATAAGCTGTACAGGTTGCTTAAAAATGTTTTTTTTTTTAACGCTTTTGAGAATTGTTTTTTCTTTCTGATAGTCCCATATAAGTGTAACAAAATTTTGAAGCACCCTGTAATATAGCTGAACTTTACAATTTAGCTCACATTGACACGCAGACGGGTCGACAGGCGCAGCAGGCAGCAGGGCAGGCAGGTAGACGATATTAAAATAAATATAAGCACGAAAGCGATTTAAAAAAAAAACCTGAACTATTCTAAATATACAGCAGGTGTTATGGTCGAGATCGAACCCACAACCTCCTGTATACCAGGCGAGGGAGTTAACATCTGGCCACTGTGTCACCCCCCGATGATGCTAATGACGACGTTTGAAGCAAACGCGCGCGTGTGTGTTTTTCTCTCTCGCTCGTGTCGCCGCAGGTCTCTCCGCAGACCAAGGAGTATGAGTTCCGCACGCGCCGGCACGTGCCGCGTCTCGGCGTCATGCTCGTGGGCTGGGGCGGCAACAACGGCTCCACCGTGACGGCTGCCACGATAGCCAACCGGCTCGGCCTCTCCTGGAACACCAAGACCGGCGTCAAGGTGAGCCGCCAACGCCGCCCACGTGCCATCGCCACCGCCGCCATCGTCGCCGCCGGCGCCGGCGCCGCCGCCAGAGCCACCGTCGCTATTACCAGCGTCGCCACCAGCGTCGCCGCCACCACCGCCGCATTACATGAATTTCTATCGCGGTGGCAATTTCGCTGTCATTCCTCCAGCGCTGCTCGTTACAAACACCGCCAGCCACCATCTCCATCAATCCAACGCTTGCATCATTGCTTTTTTTAATCGATTGATAGGAGTCGTTTGACCAAACTGTTTATTTTTTTGTTTTTTTTTGTGTCCGCAGCACGCCAACTACTTTGGGTCGGTGTTCCAGTCGTCGACCGTTTCGCTGGGCTCGGGACCACAAGGGGACGTCTTCATTCCCTTCAGGGACCTCCTGCCCATGGTCCATCCCAACGACATCGTGTTCGATGGTGAGGCTTGCCCCTCTCTCACTCCATCCTGGCTTCCATCCTCCTTCCATCCTTCCCTCCATCCTTCCTTCCATGGTCCATCCCAACGATATCGTGTTCGATGGTGAGACTTGCCCCTCTCTCACTCCATCCTGGCTTCCATGCTTCCCTCAATCCTTCCCTCCGTCCGCAATTTCCTGCTCACGATTAGCATCGAGGCGGTGCTCGACTCCTCTTTACAGCTCTTTGCCAGCGCTGGAAATTCCACATTGCCGTGGCGAGGATGGGTCTATCCATAGGACAACAGCACTCGTGTCATCAACGACCCCGGAGAGATATGATGCGCAGGATTTTGAATTCGCGCACGCGAAAGCGCTCGCTCTGCCGCAGAGCCAGCCGGACGAATTTCCTTGAGTGAAGTTTAATGCTGATTTAATTGTCAGGAGCGCGACTGCCCAAATTTCCAAAGTGCAATCTCAACGACGCCGCCCCCCCCCCACCATCTCGTCCCGCCTCGTGACGCCGTGTCGCCCGCAGGGTGGGACATCTCGTCGCTGAACCTGGCGGAGGCGATGCGACGCGCCGAGGTGCTGGACTGGGGCCTCCAGGAGCAGCTGCGGCCCCACATGGAGAAGCTGCGGCCTCGCGCCTCCATCTACGTGCCCGAGTTCATCGCCGCCAACCAGGAGGACCGGGCCAACAACCTCATCCCCGGCACCAAGGCCGAGCAGGTGCGAGCGGGGCCCCCGGATGGGAACATCAGGACCGGATCGGATCGATTCGGATCGGATAGGACAGGTGTTCTCTCTGTCAGAGAGCGAGTGAACACTGTGCGCGTTCGAAGTTCAAATTATTGTTGTTTTCGAGACAAGCTCGTTGCGTGCAAACTGCATTGCTTTGCTTTACCAAGGCCTCCCTTGAAAAAGTGGTGGTCAGCCTGGATGGCCTCTCTCTCCGGGCAAATTTTTTTTTCCATGAATGAACGACAGCGACCATTTGCCGAGGACGCGGGGCTGCTTTGCCACTTCCTCTTGGCCCGCGAGTTTGGTTTTGAACCCGTCCGTGCGTCTGCGTCGCGTGTCCCGCGTGTGCCCGCAGCTGGAGCAGCTCCGTCGAGACATCCGCGACTTCAAGGCATCGAGCGGCGTGGAGAAGGTGATCGTCATGTGGACGGCCAACACGGAGCGCTTCTGCGAGGTCGCCGTGGGACTCAACGACACGAGCGACAGCCTCATGAAGTCCATCGCGGTAGCTGCCACCCTCTCCCTGTACCCGACGCCCCAACACCCAGCTCCCGGAGTTCGCTTATCTTCGCTTGCCCAAGGGACATCAGGGCAGATGGAAATACCTCGCTAAAAGACGAAGACCCCCCACCCCCACCCGCTATAGCTGATAACAGATTGATAGCGAGTCGCACCAATGAAGGACAGCACGGCGCACGAGGGGGTGGCCAGCACCACACCCGGCCGGCCGGCCGCCTTTGTCTCCCGAGCGTTGCTGCTTGCACACCGCGCCGGGTACTCATTTGAGGCCGAGTTTGACCTAGCGGAGGCCCAGGACCGGTTCAGATAATCGTCACTGGTGTGTTGGCCGTGAGCGGGAATCGAACTCGGGTCGCCGGGTTCGTAGCGCGGCGCGCTAATCGCTGCGCTACTGCTCGCCAGACACACACAGATATGTAGGTACACACACACAGATATGTACACACACACACAGATATGCGCACACACACACAGATATGCGCACACACACACACACAGATATGCACACACACCCGCGCACACAAAATACCCACCCTTGCTGGCTGGACGCAATCCAATTACAAAATTTGTTTAAAATGCCCCGTTGTGTAAGGTTACCGCTGGACTTTGCTCCCTTTGCCAGACGTCACACGCCACGAAGCTAGAGTTTAAACTCGGCCCGCCAGGTGACTTGACTCTAGCAGTGTCTGATTTGTGAACCGACGCAAGGGACTGTTGCACAACCCTCTTGCAGTATTGCAGCCCCAACACGGGCCGAAAGTGTCTCACCGGTGTTGACTGAAGCAAAACGCTGCCACGTTTACTTAAAACCTGCTGAAGCAAAAAAATCTAACAAGCGGTATTTTCTTGCACAGATTCACATCTTATTGGAATGGCTGGAACGCATCACCTTTGCAATATACCGCATTGTCCGCGATGATTTAGGGATTGGCACGGTTATATTAAATGTGCGTGTGTCCAACAATGGATGGAATAGAGCATTACCCAATATTGGAATCTGGCCTTGCAGAAGGTATCCCGGCGGCAGCTCTGCTATGTCCTCTTCCGCGAGCCGTTTCTTGGACACGAAGGGTGACGGCGCTGCCGTGCGCGAGATCCAATTTGTACCCTTCATCTCCTACGCATGTATGTTGATCTTCTTTCGACACCGTACGTGGCCAACCGTGCTAATCGGAGGTGCGAGGGGAAGGACGGCAAACGAAGCACAACACAGCAGTTCTAAAAGAAACGAGTTTTCAACCTTGATTTCGAACACAGAGGGCGATGGCGCTGCTGTGCGTGACGTACGATTCTACTCTTCATCTCGTGTGGCGTCTCCGATGAGGCACGTGGTTTTTGATAACAGAAACAAGCAAAGAATAATCGGCCCGAAACTTCGAAAAGCGATAAACGAACGCGGCCCGCTGAATTTTCCTTTCGCTTGTTTTCTGCTTCTGCGCAGCGCAACGAGTCGGAGGTGTCGCCGTCGAGCCTGTTCGCCGTGGCCTCCATCCTGGAGGGCTGCGCCTACATCAACGGATCGCCGCAGAACACGTTCGTGCCGGGCGTGCTGGAGCTCGCGACGCAGCGCGGGGTCTTCGTCGGCGGAGACGACTTCAAGTCGGGGCAGACGAAGCTCAAGTCGGTGCTGGTCGACTTCCTCGTGAGCGCCGGCATGAAGGTGAGAGGAGGGCACGAGGGACAAAGCCCTGACGATGCCTGCTGTATATTTGGAGTCTGCGCGTCCTCTCTCTCTCTCTCTGTCCCCGTGGTCTCTCTCTCAACCGTGGTCGCGTGGATATTTCTCCGGGTCCTCCCGTTGTTTTTCCCCCTACACGTTCGGAATCGACATGCGTTGAAAGTATTCGGCCGCTACTGTAAATTTCCACGTGGTAAGCCAGTTCACGGAGCTATTATTTGTGGCCAGGTCCGTTTCTGAAAAAGAGCTGTGTAGGTCATTTGGTCTTACCCGGTAAAATAAAGAAATTACTTAGTTTTTGAATAGTTTTATTGTCTACGTCTGTTTTTATACCGTCCACCCGCCTGCTCTCATCTGTGTGTGTCTGTCGGCCTGCCTGGCCTGCCAATGGTGAACTCCATTGTAAAGTTGAACTATCATTTGTGGACCTCAATCAGATCTAAGAAGCTAAGCGGGTTTTGAGCCTGGTTAGTGTTTGGATGGGTGACCACCAGTGCATACCAGGGGTGCTGTGTGGACCTGGCGGCTGCGAGGTGACCAGAAGACAGCAGTGGGTATTCTGTGGACTGAGTCTATCCGTGCGGTGGCTTGGAGTGTTAATCCCTCCCACATGTGATGGCTTTTCTCTGGTCACTTCTATTTGCCTCATTCGGGGAATTGGCCAAACATCCCAATGTAGCAGTCTTGAGACTCTCGCAAGCTTTCCTGGGTAAATATTTGTCTGCGTTATTACTGTTAAGTTTTTATTTATAAAAGGAGATACAATTTTTGATCGCATCTACAGAAGAGGCCTCTGTAACTGACATCACCGCGAACCTTGGTCAATCCACTGCTGGATGAAGGCCTCCCCACTAATAGTAATACTCTTTTTTTTAAAGAGCAGCATTCATGCAAATTGCATCACGAAACACTTCAACATTTTGACCCGCGACACAAACATCTTAAAACCCCCCAGAAGTTAACATCATAAAAAAAGACCACGATCGCTATGCCACAGATGGATAGTTTTAGTTGAATAGTTAAACACACAAATCCCGACCAGGAGCACAGAGGAGAGCCGATCGTGGGCCGCGCTGTGGCAACGTCGATCGCCCATGGGGGGACAGCTGGCTGCAGTCACGCTAAATGTATCTGCAGCAATCAGCATTCACGACCCCCCGGGGCCCTCTCTCCGTTCCCCCATAGCCGCCTCTGTCCGTCTCCCTGCCCCCAACCCTCCCCATCCACCCCGCCCCGCCAACCCCGACCCGAACCCAGCCGCTCCCTCCCCCTGACCCTCCCTTCCGAGGGAAGGCGATTGGCCGGCTCCCATCTGACCACGGCCGTCAGGTGATGGGTGCCTCCGGCCAATGGCTGCGGTCCACCAGGGGTAACGCGAGGGTGACCTGATTTCGCGAAGGGGATGGCCCCGAACGTGGTTGCCAAGTCAGAGAGGGGGGGGGGGGGGTCTTTTTTTTGGAATGTCAAGATTTTTAGAGGGTTGCAGCGGAGAATTGCAATGTGAGAGTTCAATGCCCGTTTAATGCTCGTGCCGTTCTTCGCTAGCCAGACCAGACAGGCAGTCGTCCTCGTGAAAATCATGCCAGCCTGGGAGATTTAAATGCGCATTAAATTAGGAAGCACAATTAAAAGTTAAAGTTGAGTTTGATATTACAGTGCGACATTACCAGCGTGGTGAAGTGTCGTTAAAACGCCCTTGATGGCTGCCACGGAATTCGGAGTCATGTCATTGGACGGTGGATTGAGAAATGGCTGAACCGGCGTTTGCATTTTTTTGTTTAACTTTGCATAACGCATGGCTGTAGAGCGCCCTCTGGCGACAACTACACAGCAGGCAGTCAGGCAGGCGGCCTTGAGACAAAGTCGACAGACAGGCAGTTAGGACGTACATATAGACAGGCAGTTAGGACGTACATATAGACAGGGAGTTAGGACGTACAGATAGACAGTGGAGTTGGGACGTACAGATAGACAGGCAGACATACAGACAAATGGGTAGACAGATGGCACAGGTTGGACAGACCTGCAGACACAAGACAATCAATCGGGAGAGGCAGGCACACGGCTACATAAAATCAGAATATTTATTTAGGCTGGAGAAATCCGATGAGCTATAAAGCTCTTTTTCCCGCACAAGTCCAGTGGGACGGAGAGGCAGACAGACGGTTGGACAGAACGACCAGAGAGACAGACGGCTTATAGGACGGGCGGCTAGGCAGGCGTATGTCTGCGCGTGCGCGCACAGACGGACAGACAAGCAGGAAGAGTGGCAGCTCCATCGTGACGCGCGCCCTGTGTCGGGGAAACTATTTACCGCTTGCATTTTTATGCCCCATTTGTAAACTGTTCTTTCATCACAATCCTCACTTGAGTTTTATTTCTTTTTAACTTTGTAACACACTCTAGATTATGTGATTTGTTGCCTTTTTTTCTTCCCTTCATCACGTATTTTATTTGCACTTCAACTTTTTTTTGCGGGCTGTCAAGTACGTTACGTTTTTTTTTTTGCCAGGGACCCGATGATTTTTGTTTGCTGAAACCCGATTTTGAAGAGCTCCTGAGCTCACAGGGCACTTCCAAAATAAACTAAAACTGCCCCCCACCCCCCCCTCCCCCCCCTACTCACCGCAGCCAGTATCCATCGTGAGCTACAACCACCTGGGCAACAACGATGGCAAGAACCTGTCGTCGCCCCAGCAGTTCCGCTCCAAGGAGATCTCCAAGAGTAACGTGGTGGACGACATGGTGGACTCCAACCGCCTCCTCTACCAGCCGGAAGAGCGGCCCGACCACTGCGTAAGTTTCCACTCCACCCGCCCCCTCCCTCGCCCCCCCAACCCCCACCCCCCCGCTCGCTCGCCAGCCCCTCTCGTTCGACATCGTTAGCTAAGCAGGTGACCGCCCGGTCGGTGGTTTGGTGTGTGTGTGTGTGTGCGTGGGGAGCGGTGGTGTAGCGGTTAACGCGCTGCGCAAAAACCCGGCGTCCCGGGTTGGATTCCCGCTCTCAACGGCCAACACCGGTGACGATTATCTGAACCGGTCCCAGGCCTCCCCTAGGTCGACTCGGCCTCAAATGAGTACCTGGTGCGGTGTGTAAACATCGCCACTGGGGGAGACAAAGGCGGTCGGGCGTGGTGCTGTCCACCCACCCCTTCGTGGTACCGTTCCGGCCTTCATAGGTGCTCGCTAACCGCACTTGCCCCTACAGTCTGTTAAGGCTATACGGGGGATCTTTGTCTTTGTACGTTGGACATCTTTCGCAGAAGGTGTCTCGGAGGTAGCTCTGTTATGGCCGCTTCTGGCGAGCCGTTTCTCGAACACAAAGGGCGACGACGCTGCTATGCGCGCGATCCGATTTGTACCCTTCATCTTGTGTGTGTGTGTGCGTGTTGAACTTCGTTCATTCGCACCGTATGTAAACAACCGTGCTGTGCCGGGGAAGGACGACAAACTAAACACAAAAAACAGTTCTGAAGAAATACGTTTTCAATTCGGTATAGTGGTGGAGTGTATAGGAGTGTGCAGTGTAGTTTGTTGTGTCGTGCTGTGGTTCTCAACCTTTTTGGCTCCTGTACCCCGTGTTGGAGAGTAAACCCACAACATTTACACAATTGTGGGTTTACTCGCCAACACACCGGTGTGCCGAAGTAGCAACTTATTCATCTTCTTTGGTTCTTTCGGTAAAGTCACGTAGAATGAGAATAAAATAATAAATTGATAAAATAAAATAACACAATAATATTCTCACGACGTTTCGGCCACAACACAAGCGGCCTTCATCAGGTGAAGGGACGAGACTGTCTGACTCCAGCGCTGTCCTCCAGACAGTCTCGTCCCTTAACCTGATGAAGGCCGCTTGCGTTGTGGCCGAAACGTCGTGAGAATATTATTGTTATTTTATTTTATCAATTTATTATTTTATTCTCATTCTACGTGACTTTACCGAAAGAACCAAAGAAGATGAATCCTTGCAGTCACGAAAGCTTTAAATCGAAATTTAGCAACTTATTGTCGCATTTTTTTTGACGGAACAAACTTTTACTGATTTCTCTGTGTCGGTTGCGGGCGGGGGGGGGGGGGCGGGTTTAACGGCACATTTATATTTGAAAAAAAAAACAATCAACCTTTATTATGAAAAATATTATCTCTAGCCCCCTGGTCCATTGGCTTCTGTTGTTGCTCCTGCTGCCTCCCCTTGGCACTGAACGGGCCACGTGGTGGGCTTCTGGGAGGCCAGCGCCCTCTCGTGGCGCCCCACCGACCCTAGCCCCGCCAACCCCCCGTGGGTCGTACATCCCTGACGAGGAATTTGCACGTCTCGACTGCATTGGATCTAGAGAAGTGGCTCTTCACTGAAGCCTTGCACCCCTTCGGTTCTCAATCGTGTATATATATTTTATAATGTTAATAAATACACAGGGGTTTGATGAAACCAAGTAGTTGCAACTTACGTGTCCGTGCTTAATTTGGGTTTTCGATGATTCACCTTCTCAAAAAATCTGGCCGTGTCTCGCACCCCCAGAAAGGGCATCTCGCACCCCCCAGGTGGTGCAGGGTGCACCCCAGGCTAAGAAGAACCAGCGGTCTAGACAAAGGGAAGCCGTGGTGTAACAGTGAGCGCCACGCTGCGCTATGAATCCGGCGCCCCAAATTCGATACCCTCTCACGACCAACACCAGTGACGATTGTCTGAACCCGTCCTGGGCTTCCCCTAGGTCGACTCGGCCTCAAATTAGTAGCCAGTGTGATGTGTAAACATCGCCACTGGGGAGACAAAGGTGGCCGGGCGCGGTGCTGGCCACCCATCCCCTCCGTGTGCCGTGCCAGCCTTCGTAGGTTGCCGCTAACGGCACTTGCCCCAACAGTCTGTTAAGGCTATACGGTGGATCTTTGTCTTTGCATTGGATCTAACAATTATATCTCTCTCTCTCTCCGGTTATTGACATCTGAATCAATTAAAAATAATCACATTTTTTGTTTTGTCCACAGAAGTATCGCTGTCAATGCAGCACCCAACTTGGTGGCGGCTGCAAGTGCTCATGCTGTGTTTGTTCTGTGCGTGCGGTGCGACGGTCGGACGGGGCGCTCGTGCAGGTGGTGATCAAGTACGTGCCGTACGTGGGTGACAGCAAGCGCGCGATGGACGAATACACGTCCGAGATCATGATGGGCGGCCTCAACACCCTGGTCATCCACAACACCTGCGAGGTGACGCCCTCTCCCGTCCTCCCCCCCCCTCACCCCATTCCTCGCTTCTCCCAAGCCCCCCTCTCTCCGCCAAGTTCTGTGCGAGCGCTGCCAAACATCTGACCTCCGCCCCCCCCCCCTCCCCGTATGACCCCTCGAGTTTGTCCGAGTGCCGTCAAACATCCGTCTGTCTAAACCAGTGGTGCTTAACCTTTACTCTGCAGCCTTGCGCCCATTTGATTCTCAATCGTAATCTTTTCTACAACGTGAATAAATTAACAGGGTTTTGATGAAACGACGTAGTTGTGCTTACGCACCCCGTGCTTAATTTGCCTTTCCATGATTCACCTCCTCACAAAAATCCGGGCATATCTCACACCCCCGGGGGGGGGGGGGGTGCGTGCACCCCAGCTTAAGAGCCGCCGGTCTAAACACAAACAGCGGCTTCGTCGCCCCCCGCGGCGGCCCGTGCGACTGAACGCGTGTCCTCGCGCGTGTGTATCAGGACTCACTGCTCGCCAGCCCGCTGCTGCTCGACATGCTCCTGCTGACGGAGCTGTGCGAGCGCGTGTCGCTGCGCGAGGCCAGCCGCGCGGGCGCCACCTTCGAGCCCTTCCACCCGGTGCTCTCGCTGCTCTCCTACTTCTGCAAGGCGCCGCTGGTGCCGCACGGCGCGCCCGTCGTCAACGCCCTCTTCCGCCAGCGCGCGTGCATCGAGAACATCTTCCGGTGAGCGAGTCTGCGTGCGTGCATGCGAGCGTGCGTGCGTGCGTGGGTGTCTGGTGAGCGGTCGTGCGACTGTTGGAACGCTGCGCTACGAGCACGGCGACCCGGCCTCGATTTCCTGTTCGTGCTCAATACCAGCGACAGTTATCTGAACCGGTTTTGGGCCTCCCCTTGGTCGACTCGGCCTCAAATGAGTGCCTGGGGCAGTGTGTAAAAACATCGCTACTCGGCAGATAAAGACGGCCAGGCATGGTGCTGGTCACCCACTCCCTCGTGTATCATGCCGGCCTTAATAGGTGCTGCTCGCAAACAGCACTCTCCCCAAGAACCTATATGGCCCCAACGGGGATATTTCTTCGGTCTTTTGGTGGTGGACAGGAAGACACAACCACCCCCCCCCCCCTCCCAAGTAAGAACAGGAATCAAACGGATTTTTCGTTTGGGATTGTAGGTTGCGCTGTACACAGGGCCGGCCATCTGTGAGGTTCGTAGGAATGCTAAGTCTGCGTGTCTATCGCTGATCTGTGGTCGGGTGAATGGAATGCAAAGCGGTCCCCCAAATCGCGCACATTCACGAAACTCGATTTACACACTGGCTCCGCTGCCGTCCGCACCTGGACGTGCACGAGGAACCTGGCGCAAAGCGAGGAACTGAAACGTTGAAAACGAAAAGCTCAAATTCGCAACCAAAATCGGTTTCCGTTCCAGACGCTCGCTGACGAAGCATCGTGTCGCCTAACCGCGTCTCCCCCCTTCCCCGCCCCGCTGCCCCGGTTTCTTTCCCTACATCCCCCCTGCCCACCAACAGCGCCTGCGTAGGGCTACCCCCGCAGAACCACATGCAGCTGGAGTACAAGCGGGCAGCCGAGCTGCCCAGCCCGGCCAGGGGCACCGGCCTCAAGGTCGGCAAACTTGCGAGCTCCTGGACGAGCAACGGGGTCGCGAGCAACGGGGTCGCGAGCAACGGGGTCGCGAGCAACGGGCTCGCCCACGCGAGCAACGGCGTTGCCTGCAATGGGGCCCAACTCCTCGTGGACGGAATCGACAACGGAGAGAAATAGAGTGGGGAAGGGGGGTGGTCACCTGGAGGGAGATGCACACGCGATCGTTTTTTCATTTTATTTTAAAACCGCGAAAGGAAACTTTCCCGCCGCGCTCGCGTTCACCCGGCAGGCGAGCGTGGAACCGGTGTGATGATACCACGTGATCGGTACCGACTGGGACACAAATGTAGAAACCGGCCTCTCTCCCCCACCACCACCAGCCCCCACCCGCCCCCAAAGCAGCTCTACGATGTCTCATGCAGCGGTAGTTTTCCAGCGATGGATGCTTCGTCCCGCTGCGCCCAAAGCGCAGTTTGAATCGAGCGCGCGGGGGGGGAATGTTTGGCGGTGGGAGGAAAAAAGGCGGCGACGTCGGCGACGAGGACAGCAACATTTGTATAAAAATTGGAAGCGAACCTCGCCGGCCTTAATCCCGCGTCCCCCGCCCCTCCCTCCCCCACCACACCGGGATCTCGATCGCGGTGGATGGCGCTAGCGGCACCTTTTTGTTGTCGCTGATCCCTCCGTTGCTCACGCGCCGCTGAGCGTCCGTGCGGCTGCGCGCGAGCGATCCTCCTCACCGGCGACACCTTGGGCCGCTTCGTCCGTCCGGAGACGCAGACGGCGCGTCGCGCCCGGCTCTCGCGGCGTGAATCCCCCGCACTTTGGTCGTTGGCCTTCTTGATTTTGCCGAGCGAGAAACTCGACGAGAATTTCAATCCTCCTCTTCAATTGGTGATCCTTGTCATCGAGTGACGACCGGTAGGATATGTACACGAGACAATACGTGAACGATATGATGCGATTACGATATGATACGTAAACGGAGCATTGCCAATCCGGCCGCAGCGTTGTCAATAGCCTTTCAGAGTCCGACACTCCTACCATAGTAAACATCTGAGCTCTGTAACACGCACGCTCAGCAAATCAACCCATTGGAGTATCGCGGAAGCTATCCGATCGGCAATGAATGTGTCCCATTTACCAATCGGGTTTTAAACCAGTTCGTTTTTTATTCACGGTGTTCGTCTCGAGCGGAGGCATTTTGTAAATGTGGAGGTTAGGTTTCACTTTTTTTCATTGGCGTCCAGTCGGTATCTGATTGAGATGATGATCGGTAAGTTTGTTTTTGCAAAACAGAGCGAGGCGGAGGTTGTTACTCGGACACACCGATGGCTGTGTTTGCCGGCTCTTCTGGGCTGGCAGGTGCCGACGTGAACTACCTCGCCTGGTAATGCAGGAGGTCGTGGGTTCGATGCTGACCCTGATGCCTGTATATTTGGAGTTTGTATGTCTCTCTCCCCGTGGTCGCGTGGATTTTTCTCCGGGTCCTCCGGTTTTTCCCTCCACATTTTAGAATCAACGTGCGTTTAGGGAATTTGGCTGCTATAAATTTCCGTGTTAAAAGCCACTTCCGTTGAGCTATCATTTGTGGCCAGGTCACTTCTGAAAAAGAGCTATATAGCTCAGTGGGCCTTACCTGGTAAAATAAAAAAAATAGTTTATAGTTTAGTTTTAAAGTAATTTTTTTACAAATGGCCCACACCATTGGCCTCACTATATCGAGCAGTGTTCGACCGACTTTTTCATATTTAATTTTTTTTAAATGCTAAAACTAAGGAACGAGTTCGTTTCCACCATCAAACGTGACCAGTAGTTGGTCACGAGGCTTTCGTAGGAACTCCGCTGTTGTCCTTTTTAAAAAAAAAAAACGCCACGATAAGTAAACCATTTATGTTCGTGTATCTAACTCGTGCCCATAAGTGTGGTGTCTTTTTTTCAGATTGCCGCGTGTACGTTGTGGTGCAGGTGGATAGCAATGGGTTTGGTTTACAAGATGCGTTGGGTACGCACAAAGACAGTTCCCCCGTATAGCCTTAGCAGGACTGTTGGGGCAAGTGCTGTTGGCGAGTAGCACCCTTGAAGGCCGGCATAGCACACGGAGGGAGGGGCTGGCCAGCGCCATGCCCGACCGCCTTTGTCTCCCCAGTGGCGATGTTTACACACCGCACCGGGTACTCATTTGAGGCCGAGTCCACCTAGGGGAGGCCCGGGACCAGTTCAGATAATCCGTCACCGGTGTTGGCCGTGAGCGGGAATCGAACCTGGGTCGCGCGCACACCAAGGGGGCGGGGGTGGGGCTCGGACGATCGCACGCACGGTTTCATTTGACATATTTGTGATATGGGATCTATGTATTTAATTATTCACGAACGGCGACGGATTTGCGACAGCGGCAATTTTGTGTTTGACGTGAAGCCCCCCGCCGCCCCCCCACCAATCGTGTGTCGACCGAACGTCGCAATAAACACCGACAGGGTTTCCACGCCGGAGCAACACCTCCTTTTGGTCTCATCGTCGTCGCTTTGTTCCATCTCCACTCGGCGAGTCTGGGGGGGGGGAGGGGGGGGCAGCATTAGGACGCATCGTCATCTCGGCTTCTCTCTTCTTCTTCTCCTCCTCTCTCTGTCTCTCTTCACGTTCTCCGGTAGCCGTTGGAGCGGCTTTTAATCGTCTCGCCCCGAATGCAAATCTCGCAAGGGGCTGTTGGTGGACGGGTGTTTGTTTTTGTTGTTATTGGAATTCGCAAACCCCACACTTCTTCCGGCGCCGCCTCCTCGACGCGGGGGACCCCCCCCCCCTGCCCTCCTGTTGGGGGGGGGGGGGTGGGAGCGAATGCTCACAACTCAGGACAGGCTTGGGAATCGACGGGAAGCACCGCTTGCGTCTCGAAGCGTGTTTCCCCTCCCAACCCTGTGCTGCAGCGACCCACGGGCATTTTTGCAGAATTCCTGCCTTACCCGGAATTACCCGTCAACACTGGTGGGCCCCCATTGGTTTGTTTGGACAGAGGCCTTGAAATTAAAATTATTCTCTGAATGAGAGTAAATGGCTTCATGGAGGAGGAAGCCAGAGTGAAAAGATGACAAGTGCAGCCCTGAAATTGTTTGCTCCGCACCAATGCTGTCGGCAAGGTCCTCAACCGAGACGTAGTTGCCGAGTGAGTTTTGGCCTACTCTTGCAGACGTCTCGGATCTTAGAAGAGGGGGCAGTTACCCACACGTTGCCTCACCGCACGTGACCTGCCGAACGGCCGTGACGCCCTCCTCGGCGCCGCTCGGCGGACAAGAGGCTGAGTGATTGAAGCATCTTTCACCGTGGCTTCGCTTTGGCAGACGTTCTGCAGTCGGAGGATCCCCCCCCCACCACCCAGACAAGGCCCCTACCACCTATCAGAGGGGGATACCACTCAAGAATGACCCCCCAGTTGTGAATTCTGGATTCGCTACCCAGTGGAGAGCAAACGAACAGCAAACTCGCGCGCGTTCTCAAAAGACGCCGGCACGCCTTGATTGTGGTTGGCTGTTGTGGTTTTTTTTACTTACCCCCTCCCTAACTGCCGGGTTTAAAAATGAAGCCATTTGAGGAATGTTCACAGCGCTTTTGAAAACACAGACATGGGATTTGGGAAGGGGAAAAAAAAATCAGCGCACGCCGCATTTAATTTGAACGGAGGCGCCCAGACACCAAAAAAAAAATGCAAACGACCATCCCCGTTGCTGTCCTCGCATTGTCTCGACTTTCAATTGAACGGCACACGCTGCAAAGTCATCGCTCTCAGGTCCAGCCGATCGGAGGCCCCCCCGGACGCGTCTGGGGTAGGGGAGAACACGAGTGATGGTGTAGCGTCCGCGATATTTTTCACGATACATTTTTTTTTTAAACGAGCCGGCCCAGCCACCACCATTATCACCACCATCATCACCACCATCACCACCAACCCCAACATCCACCACCACCACCACCAACCCCAACATCCACCACCACCAACTCCAACATCCACCACCACCACCAACTCCAAAATCCACCACTACCACCACCACGCCGCGCTTGATACCCCCGCGGCAATGATGCTGCCAACACTCCTGTCGTGAGAAAAAGTTTGGTGGATCGCGTGGAGCTTTGCAAAAAAAAATCCCAAAGAATGCAGGATTTTCGCGAAACAGAAATATTGATTAAATAAAAAAAACATATACAGGGTTGCCCAAAAGTCAGGACACAAGGTTATATTTATCTAAACAAATCACATCGGGATATTTGGTAAATTTTCACGTTTAAACTGACTACCATCAACATGAATGAATGATGCAACGAATTTTTTTTTAATGAATTTAGGACTTTTTAAAAAAGATTACAGCTGCCTTTTTTAGAACACATAATAACGAATTGAATCGTTCGGCCAACGAGTAAATTTTCTTTACATTATTAAATGTCATCTGAAAAGGAATACTTTTTTTACCTTAATAATTATAGATAAAATATTGCCTTAAATAATGGACAATTTAAATGTCTTAATGCCAGTGTTAAATTAAATTAAATAGCCCTCTGTGTCCTGAGTTTCTGGGCCAACCTCTGGACGAACACTTTGAGACTAGGTTTTACAGAAAGCTGTCTGGTGTGGACCAATCAGTTTCAAAGACAATGCCATACACTATCAGAACATTTTTTTGTTTGCATGTTCACCACAACAACTATATGTGGGTTAATGCAGACATGATTCCTGATGTAGTGACGTAAATGGTGCCACTAGGACAGGGTGTCCAAACTATTTTTTCCCGAGGGCCACATAGAGAAAAAAATACGAAGGACTGGGCCACTCACTAGACGTGAGGGATGCTGCCTCACTTCTCATGCACTAATATTGGCAAAATCAATAAAATGCAGGTAAATTACGTTTAATAATTGAGCATGTTTGAAGAAAAAAAGCCTCCATCATAGCTCTCCATTAGTAGATTTTCATTTTATTTTATACAAAAAGGTTGGCAGGTCATTCTCTCAGTGACAGCCTCAGATTGGTTCTTAGGGTGCTGATCCCCCTTCATTGTCCATATGAAGGGAGAGACAAGAAGAGAAATAGGGGATGTGGATATTTCAAGCTTATTACACAAATAAATTATTGGGCTTGTTAACACATCAACTAACGTTTGTTAAACCATTGTCATCAACTTTAATTGACTGAATTTATTAAGTAATTGGGCTTATTAACAAATGAAAACTGCGTGTATATTTTTAACTCACCTGTAATGGGAAGAATGTTGCGCTCAGTGGGAGCAGTGATGCTGCGCTTTGGTCTGAAGGATAGCTGGCAGGTCAGGAGTAAGTTTGGTGGTTGAGATGCGAAGGACGTCACGCAGATGGCTGTCGGTCGTTCTGGTTCTCAGCCTGCTTTTGTTCAACGTTAACAGAGAGAATGTCTGCTCACACATGTATGTTGAGCCGGACAGACTCATCATTCGTTTTGCGTGGCGTTTCATCAGAGGAAACGTGGCCTTTTCCAAGCTCCGGTAGAAGTCAGGTAGGGAGAGAAGCTGATGCTCATTCTTCAGAGAATCATCACACTGAATTTCGATCAGTTCTAACTTCTAATTGCAGACTCTCCTCCACTTCTTTCGCATCCATTGAAAACGGAGCCGCAAACTGTGATTTCCTTCTCAATGACGGAAAAATCTTGGAAGCGCTGACTGAATTCTGTCATGAGAGATGTGATCACAGGCACACATTCTCCCATTTTTGCAGAGAGCTTGGCATCTGGAAATGCGCATTTGATTTCGGTCAGCGTGGGGAACTGCGCTACATTGAAGTTGCGCAGTTTGTGACTCGAAGGGACGGAGCTTCGCACGGAATGCTTTCATGTGCGCATACAGCTGTGGTACCAGCTGCTCTTTGCCTTGTAGTCTCTTGTTCAGGGTGTTGAGATGATCAGTGAGATCAACTAAAAAAGCCAGGTCTGCCAACCATAAAAGGTCTGCCCTTTTCTTTCAAAAAACTTGTCGATATTTGATCTCGGGGAATAAAACCGCTGCAGCACGGAGCCGCGACTGAGCCAGCGCACTTCAGAATGGTAGAGTAGGTCCCCGTATTCTGCATCGACATCAGAGAGGAACGCTTAAAATTTTCTGTGGTAAAGCCCTCGTGCCCGAATTATGTTGACAGTTTTCACAACTGTATTCATCACATCGCCAAGCGGGATTATCTTGGCACAGAGGGCTTCTTGGTGGATGATACAGTGCATTTTGACAGCCTCACCTCCGCTCTCCTGCACCTTGGCACTCACCATAAAGCCATTTCCTTGTGCTCGCCTGTCATTGCTGGAGCCCCATCCGTTTAATTCCACACAGCTTGTCCCATTTAAGTCCAGCCTGGTCAATTGCATCTGACACAGCTTCAAACATGTCCTTCCCAGTTGTTGTCCCCTTTAGACTCCGAAGATCGAGCAGTTCCTCCGTAATGCAAAAAATATCATCAACTCCACGCAAAAAAATTAACAGCTGTGCAGCGTCCGTGGCATCTGTGCTCTCATCACGTGCAATCGAGTAAAAATCGAAAGCACAAGCTTTATCTGACACTTGCTGTTTTAAGTTAGCCGACAAGTCTGCAATTCGCCGCACAACCGTATTTCTGGACATGCTAAGATCGTTGAAATCCTGCATTTTCTCCGGGCACATTATTCCCACGACTTTAGTGAGGCACTGCTTGATGAAGTCACCGTCTTAGAAAGGTTTCCCGTGCAGGACAATGAGTTGAGCTACTTCATAACTGGCTATTGTTGCATTTTCTTGAGCTTTGTTAGCATGGAAAAAAACCCTGCTGCTGCGTTAGCAGGCTAGCTGCTATTTGCTTTACCTTCTCTTTTCGGTCAGCGCCAGTGTAGGACGTGAAGGTCTGATGTTTCGTTTAATAATGCCGTGGTACATTGTACTCTTTCATCACGGCAACACTCTCATTACAAATCAAACAAACATACTTCCCCTTGGTTTCTATGAAAAAAATGATTTTTCCACCGAGTCTGAAATTTTCTGCACTCGCTTGCAATCTTGCGTCTCTTCGGTTCCGGCATTTCTGGTGACCCTGAGCAAATGTTTTTCTTCGATTGCTTGCTTTGTGGAGACGCTGCCTTGTTCAAAACAATAGCGCCACCTCGTCTTTAAACTAAGAAGTGCAATACAGTGGGCCATAGTCCATTATATTTTTAGACTTTGATACGGGCCAATTAAAAATGGATGGTCGGGCCGCAGTTGGCCCGCGGGCCGTAGTTTGGACACCCCTGCACTAGGGTGTTCGCGCCTGCTACTGTTACAGGAGTTTAACTGTGCGTCTGGAACCTCTCTCAAGCACCAGAGTAAGTACGGCATGTCAGCCAGCCCTAGGGGGCATAGTCCCGGTGATGGCCTGAGAGAGGGCAAGGGAGGACGTGGTAGCCCGAGTGGGGCACGTGATGCTCGGTCGGGATCCTTCGGGAAAGGTCTCGAAGGGGGTGTGGCCGAAGGCGGAGCGAGGCCACGC